GGGCCAAAATGGCAAAAAGCAGTTCCGGCTTCTCGTTATCGGATCTGAAATCTCCGACAGAAATGAATGATTTCGAGACTTCTGTGGCCACCGATCAGATCGAAGCGCTCGATATCAACGCCTATTACAACACTCCCCAAGACATGGCTTTGGGTGAGACGTCGACTCTTAATCAACGCCTAATGCAAGTGGAGACACAGCCCGACCACACCTCCAGCCTCTATCCCGTCTCACAAATGCTTTTAGTTAAGCATTCGTTGCGATGCAAGACATGTGACCACAACTTAAGTAAACCCGAATACAATCCCTCATCCATTAAGTTTAAGATACAACTCAGCGCTTAGTGAGTCAATCATCCAAACTATCCATTCATGTATTGTTAATACAGTAACTGTTTTGTCTGTTTTAGTTATCACATTCCAGAACTGCGGATCAAATCGATTCCAACGCTAAAGATTGGACAAGAGTTTAGGCTAGAGATGACTCTACAGAATCCAACTCCTTATGCACTTCACGTAACGATCTTTGATTTGTCCGAAAGTTCTGATGAGAGCGCAGCCATTAAAGTGCCTCAACTTGTAATGGGTTTGGCGCCCAAAGACGACACCGCAGACCTCGACATCGATAAGAACTTTCAGTCACAGTTCAACGACGACAACAAGTATTCACTCTCTTTATTATTCAAATTCATTCATTTTAATTGCATTTTTCTTTGTCTTAGTTTTATATCGTTTCGAAAGGGAAACAAATTAGGGTTTTATATAAATGTGTGTCCATTAAAGACAGGCGAATGTCGGTTCAGGATTGGGATGAAACACGACTTCGTGAACACTGTTATTCAATCCACTCGTGAGGGCCCTAATGATAGACAGTCACAGATCTCGTGGATTACACATAAGATTTGGATCAATTTGGGTGATGTTTGCGATTAACACTATATCCGTCACAAACATGTCGGTTAATCATTCACTTGCAAGCGGTAATCGATATAATAATCATATGCTTTATATTTCAAGTTTGATGTGTACATGAATTTTAGGCGACTTTTCTATTAAACTTAATTTATTTAAAAATAACTAATTTTGTGAATCGATTTTTATATCAATATTAATATCA